ATAGATAGATAGATAGATAGATAGATAGATAGATAGATAGATAGATAGATAGATAGATATGGATGGGCTGATAGATAGATGATAGTGATAGATAATGATGGATCGGTGGGTAGATAGAAAAATGAGATGGTTAGATTCACTAAAATAGATGATAGATAGATAGATAGATAGATAGATAGATAGATAGATAGATAGATAGAATAAGATTGTATACTTATTTTAGATCTTTATTTCAATTTTTATTATTTTTCTCCTAGAAGCATGCATAACAACAACAGAGTTGAAAATAAATTTTGGAATAGCAAAGTAAATAAGCAAAACAAAGCAGAAGGAATTTCATTATCTAGTACAGGGAAAAGTCTATTCAGGTTATCTCTGAAACAAGTCTATGTTTGCATACCTTCAAAACATTCAGGAAATGCCCCCGTGGTCGAACGGCTGAAAGTGAAGAGGGAGGCAACCCCAAAAAAGAGTCGCTGATGGGTTTCTTAACCATTTAGCGGACCCCATTAAGTTCTATTAAGAACTCTAATCAGTCTGTGGGTCAACCCCAAATTTGTCTATGAAAAAGACTCCTTCAACCTGGCACTGTATAAATATGCTAGACTACAATTCCCTTCACACACACACACACACACACGTGTGTGTGTGTGTGTGTGTGTGTGTGTGTAAGGGGAGCTGTAGTATGACATGTTTATAAGGTGCCAAATCAGCAAAGAATATTCTAGAACAGTGGTTCTTAAAACTGGAGGTAATTATCCTCAAGTAGGAGATGCGGTGGCTCAATGCTTAATGATACTGGAGATGGTTTCTGCTCCGGTGGTTTGAGTCCCAGAACTGTGTGTCAGGGTGAGCTCCTGTCACCCATCTTGGCTTCTGTCTATTTAACAGTTTGAAAGCATGTTCTATGCAGGTAGATAGATACCGTGTTTTCCCGAAAATAAGACCTAGCCTGATTTTTTAAGTGTGGGCCTGCCCCAAAATTAGGCCCTAGTGAAGTGGATGGGCATGGCCAGTACAGGAGGCAGCCCAACCACGTGTCCCCTCACAAATAAGGCAGCAATCCTTAAGTCAGCACTTAGCACGGTACCTCCTTCCCTTCCTCGGTCACCTCATGGAGGCTCGGCCCTTTCCCAACCTGCCAGCATGACTCTAGTGACCAAATCTGTGCGTAGGAGGAGGATCCAAGCTCCAGTGTCCCAGTAGTAGAAGGGCCAGCAGAGGCCAGGGCACGCCTGTTCTGGCTGCAGGCAAACACATGGTAGACAGGGCTGGGTTGGCGATAGCAGTGTTCCCACTCCCATTGGCCCCCGCGCTCACCGCCTCCTGTACATTAAAAAAAGACTTCCCCTGAAAATAAGCTCTAGTGCAGTGATGGCTAACCCTTTCCACATTACATGCCCAAAGTGCGCACTTGCGTGCCTGCACCCATGTTGCGATGTGTACACGATTCCCCCGCTCCCTGCACCACATGCCCCTGCGCATGCACACACTTCTCCCCCACGCACATCTCCCGCATGTGCAGCCGATACCAGACCAGCTGGCTGGAGGCGGGGCATGCGCATGGGCAGTGAGTGGGGCTCTTCCGGGGGACCTGTCGTGTTTCGGCAGAAGTGGCTCTGCATGTCACTTCCGGCAGGCATGCGTGCCATAGGTTCGCCTATGGGTTCGCCTATACGTGAGCCAAAAAATTAAGGCTGGGTCTTATTTTCAGGGAAACACGCTAGGTACCACTTTGGTGGGGAGACGAGCCGGTACTCTGTGCAGGCAATCAGATTCCTAACACCTCTGAACCTTCCCAGTTGCAGTGCCCATTTGCAAGGCTGCTCCAGGAAGGCTGCTCCAGGAGGCCTTGGTGATGTTGTAGAAAGAGCCGTTCGCCTTTCTCTCTGGGGCGAAGCCAGCTCGCCATCCTGTAGCGCACCTTGGAAGCGCGCATGGGTGTCCTACGACAGGGCTGGTATCTTGGCAAGCCAAACTGCTACTACTCTGCACTAGCATTTGTGGTCTCCTGGCTAATGTAACAAGGCTCTATGCTAATGCTACTAATAATTGCCCCCAACAAGAATATTTGGAGATATCCTGGTGGCCAACCTTAAGTATGGTTTCTGCTACACTTCCTCACATTGCTGCTCTGTTGGTGTGGGTTGAAGGTCACCAGCTATTATTTTAACAAGCAGTAGGTATTTGGATTCTTCAGAAAAGGAAATGTTGAAAGAAAGAAAAACATAAGATAGGGTTCTTCTCCTTGCTGCTATGACTCTAGGTTTACTAACCTTACACTTTCGGGGAGACATCTTGGGGCTATTTGGAGGCTTATTTGCATTGGTTAAGGAGTTGGTTTCTTTGCTTTAATCTTTCCAACGTCCTCTTCGTATCGGTGAGAAAGGCTCACGAGGAAGCTGACATGCTTGCACAGCCTGATGGTGGAGAGGGTCTTGCCGCTAAGGAGCAGCTGTTTGCAGAGGTATTCACCCCCTTTTTTGTGCTAAACATGCAAACTGACTCAACATTGGTAGTGAATGTGAGTGGTTTTGCATTGGCTCCCAACTAACCTGTTTGCTTATGTGTGTTAGCTCATGTCCTCAGGGCTGTACAGATAGTCCTTGGCATACAACATTGTTTAGCGACCGTTCAAAGTTACACCAGCACTGGAAAAAAGGGACCTACGACTGTTTTTTTAACAAAACTGCTGAAGCATCCCCATGGTCGCATGATCGAACCTCAGAGGCTTGGCAACTGTCTCATATTTATGATGGTTGCGGCATCCTCCAGGGTCACGCGATCCCCTTTTGGGACCTTCTGACCAGCAAAGTTAATTGGGAAGCCAGATTCCCTTAACAACCGCGTTGCTAACTTAATGGCGGTGCTTCGCTTAAGCACTGTGTCAAGAAAGGTTGTACAGTGGGGCAAAACTCAATGTCTCACTTAACAACGGAAAGGTTGGGCTCCATTGTGGTCATAAGTTGAGGTCTATTTGTATCCCTGGGACTGACTTTAAACTGAGACGGTATTCAAATTTACCTTCGGAGTTTAGCTCTATTTGACTTAGCAGCAAGGAGGTTTCCTGCGGTGATTGGATATTTTGGAAATAAATGTGTTCTGACCCAGCTCCCCAAACACGACAAACCCTCTGACGTGAACTCAAAGTTTCCTTTATTAGGAGCGCCAGCAGCCTCAGCAAAAAGTTTCTCTCTCAACTCAGGCCAACAAGGCCAGCCGGCCAGGAGATAAATAATTGTCTGCCACTTCTATTCATTTCCACCCCCTGCCTTTTATCCCCAGAGCTGAGGGGTGGCTTTGCTAGCAGTGGTGGCTCTTCCTTCCCAAGGATCAGCCCACAGATTTCCACTGCTCTCCTCTCCTCTGCCTTCTGTGCATCCACGCATCAGGCCCTGGACCCAGCTGTTCCTCCTCTTCCTCATCAGCCACCTCCAGACCTGGGGGCTGTTGACTCTCCATCTGAGGGCTGACGGGCGGCCCAGGCTCTGTCTCTTTTCTCTCTCTCTCTCTCTCTCTCTGCCAGCTCCAATCCCTCTTCCCCCTCAGAGCTCTCAGGTTGCCCTGATGGTGGCCCTGACTCCCACTCCTCTTCCTCCTCCTCTGATTTGGCTGCTGGAACGGCCGGAAGCTGACAAAATGAAGCTGGTGTGTATTTTGCACATGTGTGTAGACCTCAACTTATGATCGGTCAGTTAGCACCCATTTGAAATTATAATGGAGCGACGGCCACCCTCCCATGATCACATGACTGTATTTAAGCTGCTTGGCCAACCAGCTTGGATTTAGGATCCCTTGCAGTCACATGACAGCGTTTTAAAGCATTTTTGCCAAAACCTCCCCATACCGAATAATTTGGTTTGCTTAACAGTTGTGGCGTTTGCTTACCACAATTGCTGTAAAAAGATCGTAAAATGGGGTCCGCGACGTGGGTGGCCTGCTTTATGACTGTCGTGACTTACGATCAAAATGAGCAGGCTCCATTACCATTGTAAGTCAAGGACTATCAATGCGCAATAAATTTTAATGAAAAGTCACTAAATGTATCGTTGTGCACCCTCAGCTCGTACCTCTATAGATATTTCATAACATGACAATTTGATAATAGGGCAGAAATGATTATACACCCAGTCCTTGTGCCTGTTTGCTCAAAATTAAGTCCCATGGAGTTTGTTCCCAAGATGAATGAGCAGAGGAGTAAAAATGTAAATATACCATTTCTTACCAGAGTGAGTAGGATAACATAAATTATTGTTAAGTGGCAGTTTTGATTTCAGCGCAGCTTTGTCACAATGTTTCCCGCCATAAAGCACATTATAATTAGAATGCATTTAAAAATAACAAGAGAAGGAAGAAAGTGAGTATTATATGATATGGGATTTATTTTATCAATAGTTGGAAAACAAATGTGGATGTTAGAAATCAAAGAAGATTAGCGCAAAATAGTAAACGTGGTAAGAATTAAAACTGTGAAGATGAGGAATGTTATAAGAATTAGATATATGATGCAGATTAGTACTAAGTAAGAATAGAGTATTAAAGTTAAGCAATGAATATGTATAAACTATAATGGTTATTGCACAAGAGATTTATACCCTGATGACACACTGTTCAAATGAAAGATGGAATGTTTGTATAAATAAAATAAAAAAATTACAAATAATAATAATAATAACAACATGTTCCCAAACTATATTAAGCTGCATTGTTTTTCCCCTTCCAGAGTAAAAACACTGAGTTTGATTCACTGCAACCCATCAATGAAACCTTTAACATTTCTGTCACCGGAGGTAAATAATATATATAAATATATTTTACATACTAAATGGGTTACCAAACAGAGTTAATTTTCTATATTTGATTCTAAGATTATGGTGATAACCGTTGTCATTTAGCCTTTAAAGCCCTTTATGGCTTGGGTCCAGGTTATCTAAGGAAACCTGTCTTGCCAGTCCCATCCACCCGACCCATTAGAGCGAGGACGCAGGGAATGTTGCGGCTCCCACCCCTGAGGGAGATACACCTGGTGGGACCCAGGAGAAGGGCCTTTCCCGTGGTGGCTCCCTCTCTCTGGAACATCATTCCCCCAGATTAGAATGGCCCCATCACTAATACTCTTCCAAAAGGCACTGAAGACCTGGTTTTGCCAGAGGGCCTAGGGAGCCCAGAGAGGAATGGAGCCCATCAAATGGCTAGTGGGATTTGCGTTCTTCAGGACGGGTGGGGGATGCAGGGTGGGAGTTGGGTTTTTTTTTCCCCCCAAATTTTGTTCTATTGTACTTTACTAATTTATATGATTCTTTTTGTTAGTTTTTATTGTTTTTATTTTTTGTTTTAAATATGGTTTTACATTGTGTAAGCCTCCTCGAGTCGCCCTGGGCGAATAGGCGGCAATACGAATTAAATAAATAAATTGTCTTTGTTTCTGTGTTCTCCTTCATGCAGACATCGATGGTTTGATCACTCAGGCTTTGCTGACGGGGAACTTTGAAAGTGCCGTTGACCTTTGCCTGCACGACAATCGCATGGCTGACGCCATTATCCTTGCCATAGCTGGTGGCCAAGAACTGTTGTCCAAGACGCAGAAGAAGTATTTTGCAAAAACAAGAGGCAAAATCACCAGGGTAGGTGGAAGCAAAGATAAAAATTGGCAAACCTCATGATTATCTCCTTCCTCTTCCTCTTATCCACCTCCCCAAACGCTTGGGTAATCCTGAGAATAGCCAAGCAGACACGTATTTACAAAAGGATGCATCATTTTTTGTGTGTGTGTTTGTTCAGTGAATTTTACTCCATTTTATGACCTTGCTTGCCACAGTCGTTAAGCGAATCACTGCAGTTGCTAAGTCAGTCGCGCGGTTGTTAAGTGAATCTGGCCTCCCCCATTGACTTCGCTTGTAAGAAGGTCGCAAAAGGGGATCACGTGTCCTCGGGACACTGCAGCGGTCATAAATATGTCATTTGCCAAGCGTGTGAATTTTGATCACGTGACTTTATAGAGACGTTGTAATGGTCATAACTGTAAAAAACTGGTCATAAGTCACTTTTTTTCAAGGCCGTTGTAACTACGAATAGTCACTAAACAAAAGTGTAAATTGAGAACTACTTGTGCAACAACCTAAGCCATGGAAAAATTAAAAGATCAGATTGGACTGAAGCCTTGATGTCCAGTGTGAGGTAACGTTACAAGGAATAGAGAAGGAGACGTTGCTTTCAACTGTGTATTCTGTGTAATAGGAGAGTCTGGCAGCTGAAATTTAAAGCCTAGCTCAGAGATGGGCAGAAGTTAAATCCACTTCTGACTCTGGATCGATGCCAAGATCTGACTCATTCATCTTCTTTCTTCTTTTAACAACCCCATAATCCCTTGCGGGGTAGAGTCTGGGAAACTGAATGGAGCTAGTGGAGTGTTTTAATGGCCGGATGCCCTTCCTGTCGCCAGTGCGGAGTTTTGTTCAGCAGATATATTCTCAGTGTACCCAGAGAGAGAAATCTCTGCCTCTACCTACCGTGTTTCTCCAACAATACGACCTCCCCCAATAGGAAGACCCAGCATGTTTTCTAGGCATAAAATAAAATTAAGACCCTCCCCCAAATTTAGGCCTATTTTAAAACATGCAAAATGGGGGGAAGGGCAGGGGAACTTGCCGTTAGGAGCGCCCCGCGGGCAGCAATTCCTCACTTCCAGCTGCTCCTAATGGGGGATCATGGCAGAGCGTGGAGAGCTCCCTACTCCTGCCAAGCACCTTTGCGGCAGACCCAAGACCTTCAGCGCCCGCTGCTGTTGATTTCCCTTCTGCCCATGCTGCCGCCGCGTTTGGAGCTGCCACTTCCACGTTTCGAGCGCTACTGCTGTTTGGAGCACCGCTGCTGTTTGGAGCTGCCGCTTCCGCATTTGGAGCTGCCGCTGCGTTTGGAGCTGCCGCTTCCACATTTGGAGCTGCCGCCACGTTTGGAGCTTCCACTTCTGCGTTTGGAGCACTGCTGCTGTTTGGAGCACCACCGCCATTTGGAGCGCCGCCACCACTCCAAACATGGCGGCAGCTCCAAACGTAGAAGTGGCAGCTCCAAACGTGGCGGCGGTGCTCCAAATGGCAGTGGCACTCCAAACACGGAAGCGGCAGCTCCAAACGTGGTGGTGGAATGGGCAGAAGGGAAAGCAACAGCGGTGGGTGCCAAAGGTCTTGGGTCTGCAGCAATGGTGTTTGGTGGGAGTAGGGAGCTCTCTGCGTTTCGCCATGATCACCCATTAGGAGCGGCTGGTGGCGAGGCTGCCCGCGGGGTGCTCTAGATGAGGATGCAAGGGGGGGAATTAAGTCACCCCAAAAAAGACGGCTTAGCCGTCTCTTCGGGGCTCAAAAAATATAAGAGCCGGCCTTATTTTATGAGAAACACGGTATGTTTAATTTTCTGGCACTGAATTTACATTGCGATATTCTGAACAGTTCATTTAGTGACCGTTCAAATTTACAATGGTACTGAAAAAAGTGATTTACGACCGTTTTTCACATTTACAACCGTTGCAGCATCCCCATCAAGCAAATTTAGATGCTCAGGAACTGACTCATCTTTATGACGGTTGCCGTGTCCCAGAGGGCCACGCATTCCGCTTTTGCGACCTTCTGACGAGCAAAGTCAGTGGGGAAGCCAGGTTCACTTAACAACCATGTGACTAATTTAACAAGTGCAGCTGATTCACTTAACAACTGCGGCAAGGTCATAAAATGGAGCAAATACACTTAACAACTCTCACTTAGCAAGAGAAATTGGGGGCTCAATTGTGATTGTAAGTCAAGGACTGCCAATACTGTGACAACGGAGGAAACAACAAGTTTCAACATTGGCTCCAGAGTTAGTCATTCCTCATGTAGACCTGAGGGATTTGGGTTAGTCATGACTGTGATTGTCTTGACTTCAGTGGATCTCTTGTAAATATGAGCACCCGTAGAGCCAAGTCAGTGCCTAGCATAAAGAAACGTGATGTGAAGCTTCCCATACACCCTGGGATTTATTTGCTTGCACTGGAAGTTAGTGATGGCCAAATTCTGTGGGGCGGGGCGGGCGCGATCCCCACCTACCTAGAGATAGCCGATTGGGGAAGGGTCTCTTGTGTGTTCCTGGGTCTCATTACTCAGTAAAATACTCAACAGTGGAGAAGGGGCATTTTGCAGATATTGTTGACGTTCGTGTGCGTGTGTGTTCCCCCCCCCCCCCATTCCAGCTCATCACTGCTGTTGTGACCAAGAACTGGAAGGAGATTGTCCAGTCATGTGATTTGCAAAACTGGAAAGAGGCCTTGGCAGCTGTGCTGACTTACGCGAGGCTGGATGAATTTGCAGTTCTTTGTGGTAAGCCGGATGGGCATTAACAATTCTATATATTCCTGTCTCCGTCCCCATATATATATATGTGTGTGTAGGTGTGTCTCTCTCTCTGTCTCTCTGTCTCTCTCTCTTTCTGTCTGTCTCTCTCTCTCTGTGTCTCTGTCTCTCTCTCTCTCTCTCTCTCTCTCTCTCTCTCTCTGTGTCTCTGTCTGTCTGTCTTTGTCTCTTTCTCTCTGTGTCTCTCTCTCCACACATACATACATACATACATGTATGTGGATGCATATTTAATTATAACGTTTTCAATCCAGGGAAATTATACCTGGCACATCACCTTTACTGAATTATTTAACTTGGGTACTCGGGTTTCGTGCCTGAAGGCAAAAACGATGCCACCCACCACCCTTTTCTTTTCTTTTTATGGGCCTCCTATTCTAAACTCTCCTGGTTACTAATGGCCTTTAATTTGTCTCTGACAAGGAGCACTGATCGCGATTCATGTCAGAACATTAATATTTGAAAGCATCGGGCAGGATATCCAGACTCTTGAGAGGAAACGATAGCATTATTAAGCTATTAAAAAATTGTAGCTCAGAATGCAGCAACAGGGAGCCCCCCCCCCTCCACACACACACACACACACACACACACACACACAGTAAAAGCTGTTCTTTTCTAGCGACTCGATGAGAAGCCATTCTGGATCTTGATCGGTTTTATTTTGGGATCAGTGCCCAGTAGCCCAACTTGGAATATAGATGCAGTTCCCTTATTTAACTGCAAAAGTAATAGCATGGCAAGAGTATAGGTATTGGTAGTCCTAGACTTACAACCACAATTAAGCCCAAAATTTATCTTGCTAAGTGAGAAAAGGAGCTTTGCCCCCTCCCCCATATTTTACAACTTTCCTTTTGCCACGTTTTTTTATGTGAATCACTGCAGTTGTTTAATTAATAACACCGTCGTTAAGTGAACCTGACTTTCCCCACTTGTCAGAAGGTCGCAAAAGATGGTCACTTGACCCGAGGACACTGCAACCGTCATAAATATGAGTTAGTTCAGAGCATCTGAATGTAAATCACATGACTGTAAAGGTCATAATTATGAAAAAATGGTCATATAACTCACTTTAATCAGTGCCATCGTAACTTCATACCCACACTAAGCGAACTGTTGTAAGACAAGGGCTACCGTAGTTCTCACCTTATGACTATAGCTGGGACTAGAATCTCCATTTCCAAGCAAGCTGGTTTGTGCGTTCGATTTTGCAACCATTTTTACCTCAGTTGTTAAGTAAACCTTAAATCTTAAGGTTTCTTTCCAGGTCCCCAGAGCAGCTGAAACCTAGAATTGGAAGGAGATTGTCCAGTTAAGTGTCTATGGAGATTCTCAGCCATCCAGCTTCATGGTTGTCCCAAAGGTGCTTTTTCAAGAGGGCAACTGGACTTTCTGGTTTATTTCTTTGAAGACGTTTCTCTTCTCATCCAAGAAGCTTCTTCAGCTCTGACTGGATTGGTGGGGAATGATTCAGTCAGAGCTGAAGAAGGTTCTTGGGTGGGAAGCGAAACGTTTTCAAAGAAAAATAAAGTCCAGTTGCTTCTTGAAAAAAAAGCATATTTGGGACAGATTGTCTCGTTGTACAGTTTGTAAACCTGGAAAGCAACCTTAGCTGCTGCGTTTGCTTACGCTAGGTCAGACAGCATTACAACTCTTCGTGGTTAAAATTTCATCAACCTACTTCTCATTCCAGCGTCTTATTTCAGATTACCAAAAGGTGCTAACCCTCATCCCTCCCTCCTTCTGTCTTCTATTTTGCATGTTCGGTCTTTCTTCTGTTTGCTGGTATCAGCTATGCCATCTTATACCATCTTATACATTCAGAGCAGGCCTGCCTGACTTCGATAGGAGAAATGGCCAAATTGATAAATTAAACATGACTGTGGGCTGCAAAGGAATATCTGGCACACCAGTTAGCTCTCTGGTGGCTAGCAGAGCACTGGAGCTGACAGACACACAGCAGCACATCTTTTTGGTGTGTGTGTGTGTGTGTGTGTGTGTGTGAATTTGTTGACTTTCTAAGAAATACCTGGGGCTGCATACATGCAGGATTGGTTTAGAGCAAGGGTGTCCAACCTTGGCAACTTTAAGACTTGTGGACTTCAACTCCCAGAATTCCTCAGCCAGCTTTGCTGGCTGAAGAATTCTGGGAGTTGAAGTCCACAAGTCTTAAAGTTGCCAAGGTTGGACACCCCTGTTTTAGAGGATATTTGTTGAGAGAAACCCCCGCCCCCCCGCAGCCTTCATGCTCCTATTTCCCTTGCCCCCATTTTAATCTTTTAATGATAAATCATCAGCATAACTGATTATTGTTATTAGTGTTTTATCTTTTTAATATTTGTAAGCTGCTCAGAGTCGCCTCCGGATGAGATGGGAAGCACATAAATCCAAATAGATACGTACATCGTACGTGCATTCGTGCACACATACAGCACCAGGAAATGAAGACAGGCCAATGGGGGAGAAGGTGTACCTGAGTCTCCAGCACTTTCTGATAATTGGGATATATTATTCTCTGGTCATGTTGGTTCCCATGCCTAATTTGTTCATCTTCCTAACTAGATTTGTTGGGCTCGAGACTTGAAAACGAAGGGGACAGCGTTTTGCAAACGCAGGCTTGCCTGTGCTTCATTTGTGCCGGAAATGTGGAGAAGTTGGTTTCCTGTTGGACTAAAGCCCAGGATGGAAACAATCCACTGTCTCTTCAGGTTAGGCCCTTTTATTTTCGATTCCCTTTGGGTCTCAGTCGTTGAAAGATGCACCGTATAATCCAGAGTTCCCAGACTTTTCTGGTTTGGCAGGCCAAGCGGGGAGGGGCAAGTGCCTTTACACGAGCGCGTGTCTACGCTTTACACCAGCGTGTGCGCGAGCAGGCCCGCGAGTGCCCACGCAACAAAAACGGGGCTGTGAGTGCCCTGACAATGCTCGCGGTGACGCTAGTGTGAGGGGACTGCCACTCAACACAGCCTAGTGGTCAAGAGGCCACAGCCCGGTATAGTGGGCCATGGCCTACTGGTTAGAGACCCCAGGTGTAGGGTCTCCTGCTTGAGTAGGGGGTTGGACTAGAAGACCTCCAAGGTCCCTCCTTCCAGCTCTATTCCGATTGAAAGTCAGTTCTGCTTGAAGAGTCAATCATATCCGTCTGTTTCAAGCTAGGTCTCCTTTATTATTTGTTCTCCTTGCATTTCGCGCTCCCAGGATCTCATTGAAAAAGTGGTCATTCTGCGTAAAGCTGTCCAACAGACCCAGGTGATGGATGCCAACGCTGTCGGGGTCCTTCTGGC